TTTTCAGTACTACGATCCTCCATTGGTGTATTATTGGTGCAATGCTGCTCTCTGGACAGTGTGACTATCTGGCTTTTTATTTGATGGTGTAATCTTTATTTGTCATCTCGCTGTTGCTCATTTTCCTTGCAGTTGGTGTTTAGGATCCTCTTTCCTCCCCTCTTCTCCTCCCCTCTTCTCCTCCCTCCGCTGTCCTCCTTCCTCTTCCCACGCATGCACACGGATGAGCATTAGTGAGAATACAGACACAATATATAAGGTGCCCATTTGCTTCAAGGTAAACGGTCCTCTTGTGCCAGTCTCTATCTACCTTCATCCCCTAAATACAATGTATGGTCATTACACCTGTATTTGCTATATTTTTTTTATTATTATTTTTAATTTAAGAAATGCCCTTCTGCAAGGCCTTTATCCCAGTGGTGGTAAGAGAACCACTGGAATTGAGGCTTTGCCTGTCGGGCTGCTCCATCTGTTGGTGTGACCGCCACCTGCTGCAAACCAGGTCCAGCGTTCCTTCCCTTGTATACCTCTTATGAGTACAGTGTTGGCCGGGGCTATGGGCATGTCAGTTCCTATGCTGGAGCACCATCTTCCCCTCTGGGCTGCTTCGTTATATCTTTCAGTCTAAATCCAGCTATAATGACCGTATGTTGTGTTTGGGTAAAGAAGGTAGCAGTCTGCTCTCCCAGTGGGTATTTGGGACCTTCTTTGCCCCGCTCTTCTCCTCCTCCCCAACTCCTCCTCTCTGGTCTCCTCCTTTCCCTCCCCTCTTGCAGATCTACTCAATGCACACAAACGAGCATTCTATAGCAATCTGCCCTGCCGGTGGGTATTAAGAAGCCTACAAAGCTCGTCTTTCTGCTCTTTGGTTTCGTCCTCTCTCCATCTCACTTCCCTTCGCCTTCTCCCTCCTCCCTCCCCTCCGGCAGAGATGAATGAACATCAGTCAGCGAACAGACACAGTATAACGTGCAGGTGTGCTGGAAAGCAAACGGGTGTGTTCGCACTCGATGCTGAAGTACATGGACGTGTTGGACCTTCACCGCTCAGAATACAACAGTGAAATGGCCGATTCATGAAAACGTTACATGTATCCAAACATTACAATGATTAAAAATATCATGTATTGACTTGATAGCAGATTGTAAGGTAGAAAGAGAGAGAGAGAAAGAGAGAGAGAGAGAGAGAGAGAGAGAGAGAGAGTGTTACATCCTGCACCTGCAATAGGCTGCACGGGCCACTTTTCAGGCCCGTGACGTTTTCGGGCCAAAAGCCTGAAAACAAGGGCCTACAGGCCCCGTGTCGTTTCAGCCTGAAAGCCTGAAAACAAGGGCCTACAGGCCCTGTGTCGTTTCAGGCTAAATCAGGGCCTTTCCGGCCCTGAGTCATTTCAGCCTGAAACNTCCGGCCCTGAGTCATTTCAGCCTGAAACTGAGGGCCATTTTCAGACCCTCATAAGATCGACCTGCCCTGAAACTCAGGCACCAGACCAGGGTTTCAGCTCGGGCCATTTTTGGCCTATTTTCAAGACAACCTTTGTTTGAGCTTCAACCCCAGGGTCTGGCACATTTTGGCATTGGCAAGAGCAGCCTCCTGGACGGGCCAGCACTACAGAAGACTGGCCCGCCCTGCAGGCTGCAGGTAGTTCCTAGGTACTTCCCAGGCACTTCACGTGCAGTTCAGGAACCAGGAGGTAGTCTTCAGGATTCTGCAGCAGCACTCTGGAGGAGCACTGCAGGAGTAGTTGTAGCGCTAGCAGTAGTCTTCAGCGCTGGGCGCTAGTAGAGTTAGCAGTAGTCTTCAGCACTGGGCGCTAGTAGAGTTAGCAGTAGTCTTCAGCGCTGGGCGCCATAGGAGCTAGAGTAGTACTAGAGAGAGAGAGATTGGGCGGAGGCCAGGGATACTTACCTGCAGCGCCATAGCTCCAGCTTTGCCTTCGAGGTTCCTGCAGCACAGCGCCATCTTCACAGGTTAGTACCTGGCATATGAGAGAGAGAGAGTTCTTCTTCTTCCTCTTCTCAGTCCACCATCTCCCTCTCACCCTCTCGCTACCTGACTTCTCTGCATCAGTAGACTACGAGAGAAAGAGAGAGCTTGGTGACATTTGGATCCAGACTTGACATTTGGGCTTCAGACATTTTGACGAGGGATTATTTGGGACTTGTAACAAAGACTTGGTGTTGACGACACTCCCATATCTCCCCTCTTCTTCGTCTGTTCCCTTCCTCTTCATCTGTGCATGATCTGGGCCTGGCGCCTTCTTCCTGTGTAAAGCATCAGGTCCCTTCATACCTTGTGATGAGGATGATGTATGTTTGGTCTGCGTTGCAACATTGAATGGGCTAGCCATTGGTATTCTAGCATTCTGCTGTGCTGTCTTTCACTACCTGATTGAGGTCAGTCCCGGTCAGGTCAGGACTTGTATCTAAGTCTTCCACTGCGCTATAAAGCACCACTCTTGTATGTATCAGAATGTACACTGCTTGTTGAGATTTCACTTGCACTGCATTGTCCATTCAGTCCTTTTTATCACATTGCGGATCCTCGGTTTATTATGTGCATCGCCCAACTGGGCATGTAGCAGTTGGTATCGGAACACCGCACGTGAATCAGGACAACCTGATCTAACACGTGTGCGGGGACTAGGTAGCTGATTAGTCTTGATTGATTAATTAGAGCACACTAGTTAGCCCCAAAAATCACGATTTTGACTAGGTTACCTGATCGGACGTCCAAACCCCCCTTGACTGTCCGGGGTGGTCCGATCGGACAACCGGTCGATCGTCCGCCCGGGGCCCTACGTCCGATCGGTGCGAAAAATGGGGGGGGGCCTTCCGAGGGGAATCTGACGCCGTGAGGGTGGAAAGTGGGCAGGGGCTAAGCGGGGGGGCTGGAGCGAAAAAAATTTCGAGGTCAGCAGAGCCTCGAAAATCGAAAACGAAAATGGCCCAATCTACGCCGTCAGATCTTTGCGATTGACGGCCCAGATCGGGTCGATTTCAAATTCGAATTTCGAGATGCGGCGGCGCTGTCTCGCACGCGAATTCGCACTGCCCTGTTGATTGAGTTCGGCGTTGCAGTTGCCGAACTCCGACGCCCAACGGCCGCAACCCACGCGCCATCGCCCGCTCGCGCCAGGTGAGTCTGCCTCCCTTCGTCCTCCTCCTCCTCCTCCTCCTCCTCCTCCTCCCTCCTCCTCTTCCGCCTTTTGTTTCTCTTCTTTACTGCTCCACCTCTTCTTCCACCTCCTCCTCCTCCTCTTCTTCCTCCTCTTCTTCCTCCTCCTCCTCCTCCTCCTCCTCCTCCTTCTCCTCTCCTTCTTCCTCTTCCCCATCCTCCTCCTCCTCCTCTTCTTCCTCCTCCTCCTCGTCGTCCTCGTCGTCGTTATCCTCCTCCTCGTTATCGTCCTCCTCCATCTCCTCTTCTTCCTCTTCCCCATCCTCGTTCTTCTCCTTCTCCTGCTCTTCTTCCTCCCCCTCCTCCTCCTCGTCCTCGTCGTCGTTATACTCCTCGTTGTCCTCCTCCTCCTCCTCCTCCTCCTCCTCCTCCTCCTCTGCGTCATCGTCCTTCACCTCCTCTTCTTCTTCTATGTCGATGTCGTCGTCGTCCTCCTAGTCATCGTCCTCCTCGTCGTCGCCGTCCTCCTCCTCACCGTCGTCGTCGTCGTCGTCCTCCTCCTCCTCTTTCTCCTCTTCTTCCTCCTCCTCCTCCTCCTCCTCCTCATCGTCGTCGTCCTCCTCCTCTTTCTCGTCTTCTTCTTTTTCCAATCAATCAATGAATCAATCAATCAACCAATCAATCAATGAATCAATTGATACAATCAATCAATCAGTCTACCAATCAATCAATCAGTCGGGATCCCGTCGAATCGATTGGTTCGACATCTTGATCAAGATCATGTGGAACCAATTGATTCGACGGGATCCGGACTGATTGATTGATTGGTAGATTGACTGATTTATTGTATCGATTGATTGATTGATTGATTGATTGATTGGTTGGTTGATTGATTGATTGATTGATTGATTGATTGATTGATTGATTGGTTGATTGATTGATTGATTGATTGATTGATTGATTGATTGATTTGATTAAAAAAAAAAAAAATGTCATGATGACGAGGCCGCCATCATGACGAGGCCGCCAGGCGGGGCTGCTGACGATGCACGTCATGATGAGATGGGTTCGGCATTGACAGAGAGGGAGACCACCTCCACCAGAGCAAAAGGCCAGACAGGGAGACCACCTCCACCAGAGCAAAAGGCCCCGCCGGTCGACAATACCGTCGGGAGCGCTTGTCTCATCAGGGGCTAGTTGCGGCTCATCCAAGCTGACCACGACACTGAGCACCATAGCTGCCAGTGCGATCGCTGTTAGTATGCTCCCCAAGAGCATCTCCGTCATCGCACCTTCGGCCGCTCTCCGCCAACGCGCCAAGTCGGGAGGTCGATCGTCCCCGTCCTCCTCATCGTCGTCGTCGTCGTCCTCCTCCTTCTCCTCCTCCTCTTTCCACTCTTCTTCCTCCTCCTCGTCATCGTCCTCCTCCTCATCGTCGTCCTCCTCCTCCTCATCGTCGTCATCATCGTCGTGGTCCTCGTCCTCCTCCTCCCCATCGTCGTTGTCCTCCTCCTCTTTCTCGTCGTTCTTTTTCCAATCAATCAATCAATCAATCAATCAATCAACCAATCAATCAATGAATCAATCGATACAATCAATCAATCAATCAGTCGGGAACCCGTCGAATCGATTGGTTCGACAGGATCTTGATCAAGCAATTGGTTGATTGATTGATTGATTGATTGGTTGATTGATAGATTGATTGATTGATTGGAGAAAGAAGAAGGCCCTCGATTTCAACTCCGCAAGCAATTGCCCCCCCCCCCAACACCCACCATCACACCTCCCTCACCCAATATGAATTTTTTTTTCGGTTTTGCTCGAAACAGCCTGAAAACTTTTTTGGGGGTTTCCCTACTGGTGCGTAGACCCCCCCTGTTTTTGTTTTTCTTTTTCGTTTTTTTTTTTGCCAAAAATGCAGTTGTCCGATTTTCTGGACAACTCCCCCCTGACCGTCTCCCGGAGACGTCCGAGGGAGACGTCTCCCAATCGGACAGCTGGCAGCCTAGGATTTTGACCTCACTGCCGAAAATCTTTTTTTTTTTTTTTCTTGGATTTTGTTTTCTCGCTATTTCTGTTGTGGAAAATCGCAATAGCGCAACATCTGAAATTTCCGTTTTTGTTTTTCTTCTGAAAATTCCTAGGCTACCAGCCGGGCCGCCCGGGTCCCGGGTGGCCAGTCTGTGCAAGGACCAGGGAAGGTCCCAGCAAAAAAAAAAAAAAAAAAAATCGAAAAAATCTGACAAAAAAAGCTATGTTATGCAGAAAAATAAAATGAACAACTTTTGCCACAGGGTCAAGTCAAAATTCTTTGCCAAATTTGGAATAAAAAATAAAATTAAAAATAATTTGTTTATTTTTATTTTTTTAATTTTTGACCCGGCCGGGCAAGTGACCCCGGGCCACTCTGGTAGCCTAGGAAAATTCGAAATTTCGTTTGTTAGAAAATCCGGAATATCTCTTTTTCGAAAATTTCGATTTCCTTTTGCAATTTTCCCGTTATTTGGAAGTTCGGAATATTTTTTTTCGAAACCCGTTTTTTTCAAAGCGGTACGGGAAATCCCTCGTGCAGTACCATTTTCCAAACTGTAAATACTCCCATCTGAGTAAGTCCGAATACTGGGTTTCTTTTCGGAATTTTTCTTATTCGCAATTCTATGATTTTCACTACATGATAATCATTGGCAGTTTGAAAGTTTGAATTTTTTTTTCTCATTGATAATTTCACACTTCAAGGGAGGTTGGGAGACCTACTGAACTTGCAAAACTCTGGATTTTTATTTTCTCGAAAATTATTTTTTGCAAAGTTGAAACTTTTTTTTTTTTGATTAGTGGCTCCTTATCTGGGCGATTTATCCCCACCCACCCCTCCCCACCTATGTTGTTCCCCCCTCTCGTCTTACCTTCTCTATCTGTCTCTGGGTACCCCCTGCGGCGGCATTGGTGAGTTGCCACGTCAGCAGACCACATCAGCAGGCCATGTCAGCAGACCACATCAGCAGGCCATGTCAGCAAAACACATCAGCAGAACACGTCATCCGACAACAGTGCCACGTCAGCAGCAGGGAGTACCACGTCAAGAGGCTCTCGGCCTGGTCTATGCTCTTGCGCTCGCAAACAGCCGTCATGGACCAGAAGTCCGGGGAAACGGACGAGGCCTATCAGGCCTGGATGCTGCTTCCGATTACCGAAGCCAAGCAACGGTCGGATGCAGTAGCAGCCGCAGCAAAGAAGAAGGCAGAGGACGCCGAGAAGGCACGTCTGTTGGCAATTGAATAAAAGCGCCAGCAAGACGAGGCAGCAACAAAGGGTGCCGATGAAGAACGACTTCAACGACGCGATAAGCTATTCATCGGAGAGCGAGCTTTGCTCACAATGCCAGTGGACTGGCAGGCCGAGGCTGAGAATGGGATGCTGGAAGAGAGTGGAAACAAGATCGCTTTACTCCTCTCCCATCTCACAGACCTCCTGGCCACGTGCATTGCACAACAGGAGGACATTCACAACCTCGACGATGCGGTTCAGACACACAATCAGGTGTTTGACCAACTCACCAGCCGCCTCCAGGAGTTGGAACTCTTCCAACACTTCCGATCGCCTCGAGGCATTGGAGATTGACGCCGGATCCCTCAAGGACGGCGTGCAGTTACAGCAAAACAGCACGCAACAGTTGGAGCAGCGGATCTGTACTGCCAGCACTCACTCGAGATCCGAATCGCACGAGACAACTCCAAAGTTCGATGATCAGGAGATCTTCTGCGGTTCGACGAAGACGGACCCGATTCCGTGGTTCCGTAAGTTTGAACTCAAGTTGCAGCTACACTACGTCAACGAGCACAAGCATCACGCGTACTTATACTCCCGCTAGGGGGGCGCGCGCCAAGCATGGTTGGACAAATCTCCTGTCCAAGTACGGAGTGGTGGTTGTCGACTTGCATACCAAGATCAACTGGGATGATCTAAAGGCGGCGTGGCATAAGCGGTTCCAAGTAGAGACGCCGAAGATCAAGGCAATGAACAAGTTGATGGTCTTCGAACAAGGCACACTGTCGAGTGTTGACTAAATTGTCGAGTACCAACGCTTGACATCCGTCCCAGACATTCAAATGGGCTTCAAAGCCATCAAACACTACTTCATCTCGAGGTCGTGTCCGGCGTTGGGCAATGCCTTGACTCACGTTGAGGACACCCTGACGACACCGGCGGAGCTCTTCAACAAGGCCGCGCAGATGATTGTCACGAACAAGGACGCTAAGAATCTCCACCGTCCTTTTGCGACAGGCCCGAGCAGAGATCAGCATCGGCAAAAGTGGTCGTGGTCGTGGCGGTAACGCCAATCGACCAAACTAGCGAGGTCGTGTCTGCCAATGAAGGGGACAGACTCGCAGCCGCCCGGGATGGTGGCCGCCCGGGCAAAGGCCGAGGACGTGGCAAGACGAAGACAAACACCGCATCTAGCCCCGGTTCCGACACAACAACTCCAGCCCCATGGTCCCAATACGGTCTGTCCGAGCAAGCATGCAAGGCACGTACGAGATTCCGTTATTGTTTGTGGTGTAACAACGATCTCCACGAGACAATTGGCTGCCCTACGAAAGGCAAGGGCAAATCGGGAAATTGAGCACCGTCGGGAGTAAGTTGACGACACTCTCGACGCCTTCGGAACCGGTCACTTCGCGGGTGACCGCCCTTCGTTTCGAGGCACATGCAGAAGTCGATAGTCCTACTCTTCTTTATTCTTTTGAGGACTATGTTGTCGGCTCGCTCCTACGCTGGGTACTCATGCTCAAGGACAAGACGTGTGTGCGGCATCTTCTCCATTCGGCAACTACAACTTGTCATCTTTAAGTGGTTCTTTATGGGATTCGGCGCGTGAGTTCAACATAGAGGTATTGGACACGCTCACGTCCGAGGATTTCACAAGGCTTCCTCCCCTTAGCACGGGCCGCTTGCCGGGATCGCAATGTGCAGCATTATGCGCTCATCTTCACATGTACTTATCCTTCTATGCACCACCAACTTCATCGACGGATGACGAAGTTGCGGTGGGGGACGTCCTTGCGTATGTTACCAAGGTGGCCCGTGAGTTTCGCAAGCACCGGTACGATGACAACAACGCACCGCTTTATGTCCGCATCCAAGTTGGGCAAGCGTCCTACAGCACTGTGTTGGATAGCGGCGCGCCTCGCAATTTTACGAGTCAGGCCTTTATGCAAAAGGTTGGCCTTGGCGCACAAGTTCGAAAGAAGGCAAACCCGACGGCGATCAAGTTGGCGGACGGAAGGACGCAGCAACTTATCGACCGTTACATCGAGTCCGTCCCTGTGTATTTCGCACCTCATGCATGCGAATCGGTGACATTCGACATTTTGGACACGGGCTTCGACATTTTTTTGGGAATGCCTTGGCTTGCAAGTGCGGATCACACGGTCAACTTCCACCGTCGGACTCTTACCGTTCGCGACGCCTTTGGCTCTGAAGTGTCGTGTACTATTCCTCCTCCGCACCCTTCAATTTGGTGCCAAGTGGTAACGGCCAAGTCGTTCCGGGCTACTTGTGCTTACGAGGAGCCCGACGAAATCGGCCTATGTGTACTACGGACCGTCGCGGTAGCTGACTCTTCACCCACGAACTTGTCTTCGGACCCCTGTGTGGTGCGGTTGCTTAACGAGTTCACCGACATCTTCGAGTCACCTACCGGTGTGGTGCCGGATCGGCCAATCTCTCACGTGATCATTCTTGAGGCCGGTGCCGTGTCGTCGAAAGGTTGCATTTACCGCATGAGCGAGGAGGAGCTTACGGTCCTCCGCGCGCAACTCGATGACTTCTTGGACAAGGGTTGGATTCGCCCTAGTAGCTCTCCATATGGAGCGTCAGTTCTCTTCATACGGAAGAAGGACAAGGATCTACGATTGTGCATCGACTACGGCAAGCTCAACGCGCAAACCATCAAGAATGCGGGGCCTCTTCCTCGCATCGACGATCTTCTTGAGTGATTGGGCGGCGCGAAGTACTTCTCTGAGTTGGATTTGAAGTCGGGATACCATCAGATTTCGATCCGACCGAACGATCGCTACAAATCCGCGTTCAAGACGCGGTACAGGCATTTTGAGTGGGTGGTTATGCCTTTTGGCCTCACCAATGCCCCGACGACCTTTCAAGCGGCAATGACCAACGAGTTTCGTGCGATGTTGGACCGGTTCGTGCTGGTCTACTTAGACGACATTTTCATCTATAGCCGGTCATTGGAGGGTCATCTTGAGCACCTTCGACGAGTGTTGGAGACGCTCCGCCGCACCAAGTACAAGGCCAACTGCGACAAGTGCGAATTTGTCCGGCAAGAGCTGGAATACTTGGGCCATTTTGCCACAGCGGAGGGCATCAATCCGCTATCGGACAAGATCCAAGCCATCCAAGAGTGGCTAGAGCCGCAGAATGTCACAGATGTCCATTCGTTCCTTGGCCTTGCCGGCTACTACCAACGTTTTATCAAGGGATTTTCGAAGATCGCGGCCCACTTGACCAAGCTTCAATGCGAGGATCGACTGTTTGACTTCGGAGAGGATGCGCTGCGCGGGAATCATTTTTGGCTCTCAAAGCCGCGTTATTATCTGCGGAGGTCTTGCACATCTACGACCTGCTAGTGCCTACGCACGTCACTACCGATGGGTCTAGCTGTGGCATTGGTGCCGTCCTCGAACAACACGATGCTGTGGACTGGCACCCGATCGAGTGCTTCAGCAAGGAAGTGCCCATCATGCACTCCATTGATGATGCACGCAAGAAGGAGCTCCTCGCCTTCGTCCACACGCTCGAGAGGTGGCGGCACTTCCTCCTTGGTCGAAGCCAAATCCGATGGGTAACGGACAACAATCCATTGGTCTTCTACAAGACCCAAGGCACTGCCAATAGCACCATCGCCCGATGGATGGCTTTCATCGACTAATTTGACTTCTTTCCCGATCATATTCATGGGAAGTCGAACCGTTTTGCGGATGCTCTTTCACGGTGTTCGGATCATTGTACCGCAGTCTACTCGACCTTCGAGATCGGCGACGACCTGCGGGACAGCTTGATACGCGGCTACCAAGCCGACCCCGAGTTTCGCGACAAGTATGCGAATTGCTCCTCTCCTAATTTGGTGCCTTCTCACTACCGGATCCAAGAGGGGTACTTGCTTGTCCACACTCGGGGGAAGGACCTTCTTTGCGTACCGAGTGACTCTCATTTGCGTACACGGCTTCTTGGCGAGTTCCACGATGCTCCCGCCAGCCTTCTTGACGACATCACACGCTATTGCGAGTCATGCGAGGTTTGCCAACGTTGCAAATCCCGCAACCATCGTTCGTACGGCGAGTTGCGACCGTTACCAGTCCCCTTGCGCCGAAGGGAAGCGATTGCCATGGACATTAACGAGTTGTTCCCCAATCACAAGACCGGTGTGGATGGGATTCTCATGGTGGTCGACCGACTCACCAAGTTCGCCATGTTCTTGCCTTGCCGCTATCATGCCAAGGCACCGGAGTTGACCGAGGTTCTTTACGCCGGTTGGATTCGAACCAAGGGTTACCCCAAGAAAATCGTCTGCGACCACGACACTCTGTTCGCTCGCCGGTCACTTCTCCGGTGGACACAATCATTCCACGAACGGCCGAGAGCAACAACCATTTTCTTTTCTTGCGCCGGATGAAAGAGCTACTTGTCAAGGCACGCGACCAGATGTCTAAGACGCAACAACGCATGAGCCAATAGGCCAATCGCCAGCGTCTTCCTTGCCCATTCCGCGTCGGCGATCTCGTTTGGGTTTCCGCCGTGGAATTCAGCCTTGAACAAGATATCTCTCGCAAGCTCCTCCCGAAATGGATGGGGCCCTGGCCGATCATGGCACCTGCTGGGGATGCACCGGAAGGACCTTCTTTCACCATTCAGGTGCCCGCCCACTTGCCCGTCTATCCAGTCTTTCATTGCTCCAAGTTGGCTTTTTACACGCGGAACATGACGATTTTCCCGGGCTACGATCGCAAGACCCACCCTCTATGGACGTTTTTCAAGAGGTCGGCAACATCATCTCCCAGCGACGCTACGGCAACAGGCCAACCAAGTACTTGGTACACTTTGCGTACTGCACTCACAAAGCTGACCGTTGGTTAACCCGTGCGGAACTCCAAGCAATAGCTCCTGATGTTCTCGCACGCTACGAACGCAAGATGCAAGGCAAGCCGGTATCTTTGGCTCCACGTCGCACCCGGATCCACGTTCCACCTTCAGATCATCAGCTTCGCCCTCGCCCCGGCTTGACTTCATAAGAGGGGGGGGGGGGTTACCTGCTGCGCCTGCAATAGGCTGCACGGGCCACTTTTCAGGCCCGTGACGTTTTCAGGCCAAAAGCCTGAAAACAAGGGCCTACAGGCCCCATGTTGTTTCTGCCTGAAAGCCTGAACACAAGGGCCTACAGGCCCTGTGTCGTTTCAGGCTAAATCAGGGCCTTTCCGGCCCTGAGTCATTTCAGCCTGAAACTGAGGGCCATTTTCAGACCNTCCGGCCCTGAGTCATTTCAGCCTGAAACTGAGGGCCATTTTCAGACCCTCATAAGATCGACCTGCCCTGAAACTCAGGCACCAGACCAGGGTTTTAGCTCAGGCCATTTTTGGCCTATTTTCAAGACAACCTTTGTTTGAGCTTCAACCCCAGGGTCTGGCACGTTTTGGCATTGGCAAGAGCAACCTCCTGGATGGGCCAGCACTATATAAGACTGGCCCGCCCTGCAGGCTGCAGGTAGTTCCTAGGTACTTCCCAGGCACTTCACGTGCAGTTCAGGAACCAGGAGGTAGTCTTCAGGATTCGGCAGCAGCACTCTGGAGGAGCGCTACAGGAGTAGTTGTAGCGCTAGCAGTAGTCTTCAGCGCTGGGCGCTAGTAGCGTTAGCAGTAGTCTTCAGCGCTGGGCGCCGTAGGAGCTAGAGTAGTACTAGAGAGAGAGAGATTGGGCGGAGGCCAGGGATTCTTACGTGCAGTGCCATAGCTCCAGCTTCGCCTTCGAGGTACCTGCAGCACAGCGCCATCTTCACAGGTTAGTACCTGGCATATGAGAGAGAGAGAGTTCTTCTTCCTCTTCTCAGTCCACCATCTCCCTCTCACCCTCTCGCTACCTGACTTCTCTGCATCAGCAGACTACGAGAGAAAGAGAGAGCTTGGTGACATTTGGATCCAGACTCGACATTTGGGCTTCAGTCATTTTGACGAGGGAAAATTTGTGACTGGTAACAAAGACTTGGTGCTGACGACACTCCCATCTCTCCCCTCTTCTTCGTCTGTTACCCTCCTCTTCGTCTGTGCATGATCTGGGCCTTGCGCCTTCTTCCTGTGTATAGCGCCAGGTCCCTTCACACCTTGTGATGAGGATGATGTATGTTTGGCCTGCGCTGCAACATTGATTGGGCTAGCCATTGGTATTCTAGCATTCTGCTGCGCTGTCTGACACTACATGATTGAGGTCAGTCTCGGTCAGGTCAGGACTTGTATCTAAGTCTTCCACTGCTCTATAAAGCACCATTCTTGTATGTATCAGAATGTACACTGCTTGTTGAGATTTCACTTGCACTGCATTGTCCATTCAGTCCTTTTTATCACATTGTGGATCCTCGGTTTATTATGTACATCGCCCAACTGGGCATGTAACACAGAGAGAGAGAGAGAGAGAGAGAGAGAGAGAGAGTTTCAATTTTGGATCTACTCATCTGGTGAAGAAGTGGTGGTTTTGATGACAGACCAAAGCACACAGGTACACCATCTGCTGGGAAGGGCCAGCGGTACACGGACAGACACAGACACAAATGCAGAGAGAGAGAGAGAGAGATGGTGGTACATGCTCACACGAAGCCTCCTTGGACTTCTGCATCTAGCAATACGTCAGAATTACCATGATCCTCCTTTTACATCCAGCAATCGGGCTTTATGTTGGAGCAAATGTAGGCGGGCTGAGGAAATCAAATGCATAGAACTAATGGCTGTTGGACCAGATCGACCTGCACAACTGAGATCTGCACCATGAAGTGCTCCATGAAGCTCGTTGTGTCCATCATGCCAATTCCAAGGCTCAGTGGATCTAAAACAACCATAGAACCTACAGACTCTCTCTCTCTCTCTCTCTCTCTCTCTCTCTCTCTCTCTCTCTCTCTCTCTCTCTCTCTCTCTCTCTCTCTCTCTCTGTGTGTGTGTGTGTGTGNCTCTCTCTCTCTCTCTCTCTCTCTCTCTCTCTCTCTCTCTCTCTCTCTCTCTCTCTCTGTGTGTGTGTGTGTGTGTCTATGTGTGTGTGTGTGTGTGTGTGTGTGTGTGTGTGTGTGTGGACGATAGCAGCCCTTCCCTGATGGTGCCCATCTTTCTCACATGGCCGAACAAACGGATGAACGGACAAATGCACGAGTGAACAAAGGCAATAAATACCCTTTTTTGCTATTTGGAGTTGATGCGTTGAAGCTGATCATTCTCTTTGTATGGCTTTGTTCTTTTTTTGATGTGGCCCATCTCAGCCATCTAATGCAGTGTATGTTGCTCAGAGAGGACGACACGTTTCAAACTTCATGTGCGCGTGTGTGCTCGGTATGGGATGTGGATATCTGAGAGAAAGTGAAGAGGCGGTTGTAACTCAGAGTCAACTCTCACGCACAAGAATGAATGCCATTGGACGGAACTTTGACGAGACAATGTGGATATTTCTGCTGAAAGAGGTCACGTCTCAAGAGGCAATCTGAACTCTCCAAGTCAACTCTCCAAGTCAACTGTCCAAGTCAACTGTCCAAGTCAACTCTCAAAGTTAACTCTCAGTCAACTCTCTGCACACGAGAAATGCTTTCTCAACAGAACTGCATCTACGAGCGAACATTTTCCTATGTGAGACCTCATGGGCCTCTCATCTCAGTCACGCGGCAAGAAGGAATAGCCGCCCTTAGTGCAGGCCCGGAAGGTGTAGGGCCTGGCCAATTTTTTTTCTGGGAAAGCCAGCTCAGGTGAAGTTGTGGCAACGCCTACGAATCACAAAATTCTTCTGAAGGTGTGTGGTCAAACAGGTCGTATCTTCTCATCATCAATTTCGAATTGATTCGTGTCCTCGTCATCAATTTCATCCTTAATTCTCATTCTTCAATTTCATCCTTATCCTCATCGTCAATTTCATCGTTGTCCTCATCTCCTTATCACCAATTTGACCCTTACCCTCATCTGATTCATCGATGTGATCCGTATCCTCGTCATCGATTTGATTGGTATCCTCATCATCGATTTGATCGGTATCCTCATCATCTATTTGATCAGTATGCTCCTCATCAATTTGATCCTGATCCTCATCATCAATTTCAATATTATCGTCAATTTCATCCTTATCTTCATCATCAATTTCATCATTGCTCTTATATGTCCTTATCATCAATTTGACCCCCTTATCCTCATCTGATTCATTGATTTGATCCTTATCCTCATCATCAATTCCGTCCTTGTCATCGATTTCATCCTTATCCTCGTCATCAATTTCATCCGAATCCTCATCATCAATTTCATCCGTATCCTTTTATCACATCATCATCCATTTGATTCTTATCCTTGTCATCAATCTCAATTTTATCATCAATTTCATCCCTATCCTAATTATCAATTTGACCATTGTTCTTCCTATCAATTTCATCCTTATCCGCATCTGATTCATCAATTTCCGCCTTATTCTCATGAGCAATTTGGTCCGTCTGCTCATGATCAATTTGATCAATTTGATCCGGAGACATGATCATGAGAATGTAACCATTTCCATTTGCATGAGGGGACAATGTGAAGGTAGTGAGCGGTAAAAAAATTCTGAACTTTGGCGTTGTTTCCGTATTAATAATAAAAATAGCTAAATAAAAAATAATGATTATAAAAATAGATTTCTAAAAAGTAATTCTAGCTCAGTTCGAATGACGCTAATGCTTCAGTTTGCGCTCCGTTTGGCGCTTTTGTCCCTGTTGCATGAGTTTGCGCTCCGATGATCAGCAAGGTTCTTTTCGTGTTCTTCTGTGTGCGATGACCACCATTCATTTTCGCAGGAGAGGCAAACAAACGCAGGCAGGCTTACAGAGAGAAAAGGTGAGGGAGGGATTGGGATTGGAGGAAAGACAAATGGAGTCGGACTCTGCGATAAAAAGAGCTAACCAGGCACTGGCACACAGAGAGACACGGGTCTGAAGGGAAGACATACGAAATTCATCTCTGTACCAAACAAAGCCGGCTTGGCATTGGATCAAATCTCTGCTCTAAGCAGCTCAGCAAACAAGTCGGCTCATGCCCGTCAACCATCGTTCTCCGGTGTGTGTGCCTGACTGTGTGTGGGGCACACACACACACACACACAGAGAGAGAGAGAGAGAGAGAGAGAGAGAGAGAGAGAGAGAGAGAGAGAGAGAGAGAGAGAGAGAGAGAGGCAGGCAGGCAGGCAGGCAGGCAGGCAGACAGACAGAGACAGAGACAGGAAGGAGCATTGGGAACATCGAGCTCATGACCATCAGTAATCATTCTCCTGTGTGTACCCGACTGACACACACACACAGACAGACAGACAGACAGACACAGACACAGACAGACGGACAGAGACGGAGACAGAGACAGACGCAGAGAGAGGAAGCGGTATAATTGCAAACATCTAGCTCACGACCATCAGTAATTATTCGCCTGTGTGTGTGCCTGTCGGACGCAGAGACAGACACAGACAGGCAGACAGACTGACTGACAGACTGACAGACTGACAGAGGAAGGTGTACTGCAAACATCTAGCACTTGTGACACAGCTGAGGAAGAGTCGTATGCAGAAAGAGGAAAGGTATGGTTCAATGCACATGACCAACACAGCAGATTGAGATTGAATTTGATGACCGGATGCGGCGGATCGTGCATTTAGGCTGAATTCTTTACCCTGTTGCTGTCCTTGCAACGCGTTAAAGTCAACATCTTGTAGGTGTCCTTTGTGTGCGAAAAGAAGGCGTGGAATGAGGAGGGGTAGGGGGTAGGAGATGGGAAGGGCTAGTGGATTTAGCATAACTTGGCTAGTCTTGCCGCTCATTCGTCACGCCATGTTCCGATTGCTTGTTGCTGGCCTGGCAAAGGACTTTCTGGCACGGTGAGAGAGAACCAGGACACATGCTCGTTAAGTATAGATTTTGAAAAGATGGACGGCCTGATAAAGGCACACCCTGCCTTATCGATCAGGTTTGAATGTCATTGTGTTTGCTTACGCTGATGGCCACACCTGGGGACGACGTCAGGTGCGTCTGTGCGGCTACTTCTGCTTCGGCTACTGGTTGGCTGAACTGTTTGTGCTTTTTTTGTGTGTCAATTGCTGTCGCGTGGCGTAGTCAGTGCTCGAGGGAATATTAATTAGTTGCAATCAATGAATGAGACTGGAGAAAGAGGTCTATATTCATCCATTAATATATGTCGATCGCAGTCGTCTTTAGCTGTCCAACGAATGATCGTACTCGAGTGTCGCAGACTGTTATGAGCACAAGAGAGTTGTGAGCAATATTCATTTGATCGATCGAAAATAGCCCGAGGGGCATACTCACACAAGGGACTTTCATGGATGCATCTTACTGCAATTCCCGTCCATACTGCATGTATCTGACCACAGTTTCATCTGAAGAGGAGTCAAGAAAGTCCTAGTTTGGGTACGGAGGAGTGATTTAACTTCTGCAAGAGGAGGATCCAAAGGAGAGGGAGATTCACATTCTTTGGCTGGAGCAGGTTCAGATTTTGGCTGATTTTGATTCTTTGGCTGGACCAGGTTCAGATTCTTTGGCTGGACCAGGTTCAGATTCTTTGGCTGGACCAGGTTCAGATTCTTTGGCTGGACCAGGTTCAGATTCTTTGACAGGACCGGGTTCAGATTATTTGGCCGCCAATTCAGACTCTTTGGCTGGTTCAGGGCATACTCACAGTAGGAATTTTTCTACCAAGCTCTGGACATGACCGCAGTCAGATTCGTCCAGGTCTGGCCGTAATTCCAGTCAGATGCATTTTGGGAAGTGCTAGTGTTAGTATGCCCACAGATTCTTTGGCCTCTGCTTCTGAATGGATCTCACACAACTCCCACAGCTCTGTGCAGGGGGAAGAAAAGGGAGATAAGGTGGCAGTGTAAGTAATCGGGAGTGATTTCGGCTTGCCTGGTGAAGTTGAAGGTAAGTTCATTTGGTTCATCTTTGACGGCGGCAGTACCAGCTAAGCAGGAGAAGGGAGGGAGGCAGAGGAGTCAGAAGAGGCAGAGGAGGAGGAGGAGGAGGAGGAGGAGGGGCGGGGAAATAAATGCAATGCACACCACAGGGAAAGGACGGCACTGGCGTAAGTGTCAATCGCCATGCGGCAATGCGAGCACCATCTCCATGGGGATTGTAATGATTTTCAGTTTTGTTTTTCTTTGCCAGTTGTGGTTCTCCGCACTTCTAGTCCCTCTCGAGGACGAAGACATCATTCCTACATCTCCGATGGAAAACGTGCTCCCAGAGTGGAGGGTAAACGAGCAATTGGAGGTTGAGAACAGGGCCTCTTCAGATCGAGTGGGTGCAACTGGCGCGCTCTCCGGTGCTACAAACGAGGCCCATGCAGGTGCTACGTATCCAGTCACGGGTGGTAATTTGTGGAAGGTGTGGCAGCGCTCCGAGTGTGGCAGAGTGTTTGGCAACGGCTTCCGTCACATTCGTCCGAGTTGCGGCAAACATCTGCGATGTAGGCATAATCCAGAGGTGGAGACGACCATCTGTGAAGCACGTGAGCTGGCAGTCGACCTTCAACGGATCACGGTCTCCAAAGGCGGCGAGCCGATTGCTGCCGTTCTTGGTCAGTCAGAAGAAGAGGAAATGCCCCGGTATCGTCGAGGCGCTCTCGCGATCCCTGGGCACTGCAATATTACAGTGACGAACAAGACACACTTCCAATACAGCTTGCGCGATATGATGAGCAGTATGGTTTCTTCCGGTCAGATTGCTGCCTGCGACCACTGGCTGGAGGGCACAACTTTGATCGTAACGAGGTACGAATACGCTAACCTATATCACACGATGACGGACTGGTACAATGCCTACCAAGCTTGGAGATTTGCTGGGGTCGGTCCAAAAAACAGTTCCGAGACCCATGTCGTGTTCTTCGATGGACATAGCTCAGGGGCACTCGACGATGGATGGGAAGTTCTCTTCGGCGTGAAGCCTGTCTATGTATCTCAACTTCCTTCGAGAACTTGCTTTCGCCGGGCAGTCTTTGTGCCGCCCGGGTACACCAGCGCATTGTCAATTACGTACTACACGACATGCGGCAAGAGTGCACATATCGTCGATTTCGCGAAACATCTATTGACGAAAATTTCACCGCTGGCTTTGCACCAGAATGCGACTGGGACAAATGCAACGGTGCGAATATTGCTAATCTTCCGGAAGAATTACGTGGCGCATCCACGTGTCGGTAAGAAAGGCGTGTCGAGGCGAATCGCAAATGAGAAGGGACTACTTGCTATCTTACAGCGTTCATTTCCTGACACACAGATTCGTGCGGTGGCTATGGAGGAGCTGAGCTTCCGCGAGCAGATTCGAGTGATCCGCGATGCGTCAATCGTAATTGGCGTGCATGGCGCTTCGCTGAGTTACACACTTTTGATGGATCCGAGAAGTACATTGATAGAACTTATGCCGCCGGAGTACAGAGGTCGGACACATTTCGCAATGTTTGCTCGGTACGCGGGCGTCCGATACGTCCGTGTGCCTGTCCGTAGAGAAAATAAAAAAGGAACGCATTTTGTTCCTCCAAAGGTTGTGGTACGCGCAGTGAGAAATGTGCTCTCCCATCACTAGAAGAGTTCTGTATGGTAGAAATTCATGTGGTAACTTGTAAGCAGTGGATTTCTTTTTCTAGTTTTTTTTACTTTTTTTACTTTCGTGAAGTTTTGTCTCGATTTTATTCCTTTGAAGGTCATGGTACACAGTGAGAAATGTGCTCTCCCATCCAGCGGCCTAGCTCAGTTGGTTAGGGACACAAGTGGCTTTCACTGACAGGAGGTTGTGGGTTGGCACCCCATGACCGCCTGCAGCACACTAGTGCCAACCAGCTGTGCTAGGCCGCTTGATACCTCTGATCGGTATTAGGTAGGGTCTTTCGCCAACACGGGTGTGAGTGTGAGCACTGAGCATGAGTGGGCTGTGTGTGGTGTGTGGGAGAGTGTTGGCCTTAGACGCTGCTGCTACTCGATGGGGGGTGGGGACAATGAAAAGGGAGGTGCAGCTACTGGCAAAATGCTCGGTCTTTGCGTTAGCCGGACCCCCACTGGCAGCCCCAACCCTGCATCCTGAACCACCAGGGCAAGGGGCAACATGCAATATCCCCTTCACCGTGAGAGGCAGCTATGCTTGCAGGGGTCCCCTCTGCATAGCCTTAGGAGTAGTGGTGGGTAGGTATTGAAAGGCGAAAAAAAGAATTTGAGAGAAGAATATACTGTAGAAAATACAACCGAAAAAAAAACAAGTGCTCTCCCATCACCATTCTTAGGAAGAGTTCTGTATGGTAAAATGATGTAAGCAGCAAGGTTGCATACCCCGACGGTCGGCGGCCCTTGACTGGTCGGATGCCGACGAGTCAACCGGTTGGCTGGTCGGCACCTACCAGTCGGGGGTCGGCGGAACCTACCGGTCGGGGGTCGTGGGTACCCCGCACAATTTTATTATTATTTTTTTTTTTGGGGGGGGGTCCAGAACCCCTAATAATCCCACCAACACCCCCATACCCCCCCCCAATACCCCCATACACCCCCCCAACACCCCCAAACCGGCCCCTAACATCCTCATACCCCACCCAATACCCCCTATGCCACCCCTATATCCCCCTATACCCCACCTATACTCCCCCCCCAATCCCTCATACACCCCCTCATCCCCAAAAGTTTCTCAGCGGACTTGGGCTGTACTCGGCAAGCGCAGTACAGCCCCCAACTCAGTTTCTTTTTTTAAACAAGTGGATGGCAATGGATGGCTGTGTTTTCTGACGGTCGGCTGCAATATGGTCGACGGTCGGGGTAGGCGGTCGGCGGGTATGCAACCCTGGTAAGCAGTGAATTTCTTTTTTTATTTTTTCTGTGAGCTCTTCTTTTTTTTTTTTTTTTTTTTTACCGGGCCCGGCGTCCCGTATATTTCAATGCCAGGAAACGGGTGTGGCATCCCTTGCAAAAAAATCTGCGGTCCTGATTTGGGACGAGAGATCACCGGTCGAGCTAAGAAACCGGACCGCAACACATCAGAATTCTGATCTAAAACAAAATTTAACAAATTCCTAATCTAGAACAAAATTTAAACAAACCCTAAACAGCATTATCGCATGTCGCCTAATGCGGCAAAAAAGTCCAAACCAGATAAAACACCATATATCCTACACAGCTATGAAAAGCCAAACAAACTCATGAAGGTCTACCATCATCAAATCCTAAGAGGATCCTACAAAGACGGACACACCACAAACCCTAGACACAAAGTAAAGATCGTAATCTCAACCCAGAACTGCCGTCCCTTCATCTAAAAATTTAAAATTCTAATCGAAAACAAAATTTAACAAGTTCTTAATTTAAAACAAAATTTAAACAAACCCTAAACAGCGTTATCCCATGTCGCCTACTGCGGTGGAAAAAATTGAAACCAAATAAAACACCATATTTCTGACATAGCTTATGAAAAACCGAACAAACTAATAAAGCTCTACCATTCATGCAGTCCTAAGAGGATCCTACAAACACAACAAACCCAAAACCAATCAGCACTGAACTAGTCGTCTAAAGCGACAAATCAAGCGGTGCTCAATGTATCAAAATAGCCATCATACAAACAACACAACTCCTCCGCTTCGCCAGCTTCGACAGACGGCTACAAAGGCTGCTCCAGGCCGCTCCAGGCCACCCAAAAGCAGAGTAAACTCCACATCTGTCGTCGCCCACTCAGCATATCGACCCAATCTCCGCAGGCCCCCCTCAACTCAGAAGGAACACGTTATCCCCACGGCATCTCCGTATCAAAGACCGAAGGGCAAGGCCCCGATCCGTTTCATAGGTTAGGGTGGCGGCGTCCAGATCCCGCCCTCCAGCTGTCCCACATATTCTCTTTCTCTCCATCCTCAGCCTGGCAGGGATTCCTGATTCATAGTCAACCAACACAAGTGTTGGCCTGCCGTCCAGATCCCGCCCTCCAGCTGTCCCCACAAAGGAGTTTTTTCGATTCCTTTGGTGTGCCCGACATGTGCCCACGCCTCTCCACGCACCGCCATAGCCACACTCATGCCAAATTTTGGCAACCGTAGTCAACAATTTACGTCAACTGCGAACGCGAGCCCCCAGCGCCCAAACGCTGCCCAAGGCGACGGGTTAGCGCTGCGTTACCGCAGCGCTAACGCTGATCGCCGCATCCATTGCTTGTCACTACAGTGAGGCCCTCATGAAATTACATCCAATACACCCGTGCCAATCTGTAGAGAAAAAAAGGCGGGATTCAAATTTCAAAGGAACGCATTTTATATTTCGTATTCCTCAAATTGTGGAGGGTGGTCGAAAATTCGGTGGCCCTCGAAGACCGATGCTGGAGCAACGCTGGCCGGAGCCGGAGCCGGAGCCGGAGCCAGGTGGCGCAACTCTGTGACCTAGCTTAGTGGGGCGTGAGGCCTGGTAGAGAGCTTTGGGGGGCTGTTTGCGGGGGCAGTCTCAGTGGTCATCGGGGGTCGTAACTGGAGCAATGCTGGCCGGTGCTGGAGCAAGGTGGTGCAACTCTGTAACCTAACCTGATGGGAGCATGAGGCCTGGAAGAGCTTCGGTTCGTGCTGAAAACAGCCATGATGGTGGTGGTCGTAGGTGGATTGAATAGGTTTCACCTATCTGATTCGTGGTTGGGAGGCTTTTTGACACACATATTCTAGTGACTTGGTAGAGTCACCGGCAGGGCGCTAGATTGACGCACGGCTGGACATACACTCCCTTGGGCTGATGCATGGTAGTATTACAGACACTGCCTGCGCACCACCCAAGGGTTGTTCATGGTGTTGTATGATGGTTCTGGGTTTCATATGGGTTACTTGGGGGTGTTGGTCTTGGGTGTTCTGTTGATCTCCCCGGTCTGGCATATCACACGTTCGCCATTTCCGCTAGTCGTTCACATGGTAGAGTCATTCGATTACATGTTTCAAGGTCACGGGTTCGAGCTCGGTTCGGACCTTGGGGGGGTCCTTGTCCAGCTTACCCCGCTCTCTCTTCGATATACACACATGATGCTGCCTATACATCTCGAAACATCGATTCACAGAGCACACACAGCCTTCGGGCATATACACAGCGTACGAACTATACATGGCCTACGGGCTACATACACAAGTTTCCACCCATAGTGCTATCTGTACATCTTCATACATAGATACACGAAGCATACACAGCCTTCGGGTATACACATTGCGAACTTCACAACTACCAGACTGGGGGGGTGTAGTCACTGGGTGTCTAGTATCTGCGGTAGGGACAGGTATGGGCCACCGGAGTTCCTACTGATATTCGGGTAGAACTGTCTAGTGGCTACTATAAGGCTTAGACCCTGGGGTAAGGGTAGGGGCATAAGTCGCTCAGGCCATCCGAGTTCCGCCTGGCCTTGGGTAAGCTAGGGGAAGGACGGTAAGACTGCTTCAATGGGTGCTACCCTGTCTGAAATCTAGGGCCCAGAGTCTCTTGGGGCCTGTAGTAGATTGTCTGGGCCTGGCGTCCGAAGTTCCCGTTCGACAAGGC